AGACATTGAAGGGCTTAACTTTGGGAGATCATGTTATGTCCGAAGCTAGGCCCCCAGGAGGATCTGATTGAACTACTTAGCATTACAAATAGAGAAGTAGAGTTGAAGGAGGTGAGTGCTGCTTTGAAGACCCCCTGTTGGGCTCCAGTTGTCTTGTGTGGAAGGAACCATTGTCCCAGTCCTGCTGAGGGAGAAACAGTGCTGTCTATTAAAGTATGCCAGCTGGTTGTACGGCTAAGACTTCAGTCTTAGCTACATGAATGTGCAGCAAATAAAGCATCTTAGCATCTATGAAATACGGCAAATAGGGGGACCCGTTGTTGTGGCTCAGCCATCATTGTCTCTGCCCCACCCTGCCCATGCTGACCTCCAGGATTCCACCAGACTAGTTATATAGAGCATGTTATAAAAATAAGTGACTTACTTTTTGCTTTCTATCAAACTTTTTTTTTTCATTGAAATTAATATGTTCCTTGTGAAATCTTGGGCCAAGATTCTTTGCTCATCTTCAGTTGGGAATATTTTTGATCCAGATATTAGAACTGGCAACATAACTGAAAGCAGCGATTAAGCAATTTCTCTATTAGACATTTTTCTCCAGTAACACATACCTGGATGATTTATTTTCATTGAAAGGTCAAATGTGTTTTAAAAGTTGAACTTCAGTTATAATTGTAAATTGAAAACACAGTTAAATCAACAACTGTAAAGTCAGCTTGAGAAACTGAATATACTGGCTTACTCAGAAAGCTTAAATCTCCCTTCTGTTTATTCTTAAAAAGGAAAGATACTCTTTTCTCATATCTCAATTATCAAACCATTGTGAAATTTAAAATACACATCAGTAAGAAAGAAAAAAAAGTCTTCTACACCCTTAAGATAAGTTCCTTTGGTGTGTGTCCCCCCGCTGCTGTGGTCAGCCTTCCCACAGCCTTCGTCTGATTAAAAGCTGAGCTGCAGCTTAACAGAACTCTGAGGCATCCAAGTGCCAATGCAGCCTCAAGCAGTCTCTGCCTTGATTTTTTAAAAAATTAACATTTAAAAAATTACCTGACACTAACAGAGAGATGTAGCTATAATAACAAAGGGTTTGGAAAATTAATGGATGCATGTTCTTAATTAACAGTTAAGTGTAAAAACCCAGGAGAAAAAATCTAAATACTGGGTTCTTCTTCATGTACTTAAAAACAATAATACATATGGTGTGTGGCAGCCTAATTGATGATACTGTTCACATGCCATGGAATGCATCTACTCAGGATCCACAGTTCAGAGGTTTGTAGTATATTCAGAGTTGTACAACTGTCAGAACATTTTCATCACCCCTGAAAGAAACCCTGTCCTCACTAGCAGTCACTTCCCGTTTCTCTTCTAGCCCCCAGCAATCACTTGTCTACTTTCCGCTTCTGTGAATCATCTTGTCCTGGACATTTCATGTAAATGGACTCAGGCAACATGTGGTCTTTTATGCCTGCTCCTTTCACTCAGCATACTATTTACTAGGCTCATCTATGTCTTAACATGAAGCAGGACTTCATTCCTTTTTATTGCTAAATAATATTCCACCACAGGGATAGATCACATTTTTTGGTCACTACTCATCAGTTGATGGACATTTATTTGACTTTGGGCTATTATGAATGATGCTGCTGTGAACAGTCATCCAGGTGTGAGTTTTCATGTGGACAAGTTTTCATTTCTCTTGGATGGATGCCTAGGAGTTGATTGCGGGGTCATTAGGGGTAGCTCTATGTTCAGCCAGTTGAGGAACTCCCAGTCTGTTTTCTATGGCAACGGTACCATTTTGCATTTGAACTATCAGCACAGGGTTCCGACTGCTCCCCATCCTTGAGAATAGCTCACTTTTGATTATAGCCAAATGAGTGAATGTGAAGTGGCAGCTCGTGGTGGTTTTGGTTTGCATTGTCTAATGGCTAAGTAGGCTGGACGTCTTTCCTTGTGCTGACTGGTCATTTGCATATCTTCTTCAAAGAAATGTGTCTTCAGAGCTTTTCCTATTTTTAACTAGGGTTATCTCTTTATTGTTGTGTTGTAAAAGTTCTTTATATACAAATTCCTTATTCTGTGGCATCTCTGATCTTTTAACATATCCTACAACCCTGGAGCTTGGCCACCCTCATTGTTCTGCCTCATTTGTTCATCCATTCAGTGTTTCCTGACCATCTTTATGTGGGAGGTATTGTACCCCGTGCTCTCAAGTATGTAAAATGCCTGCTGCTTCACTGAGCACAAAACTAACAGGAAGGCAAGTACCGTAGTGGTAAATGCATGTGGTGTGCAGAAGAAAAGACCTTCAAATTGAGGAATCAAGGAAGACAGCCTGCAGGAGTCTTTGCTAAAACAATTTAACCTTTGCTACGTACACAATAATAACAGCAAATCCTGTGCTGTGATGTACAGCATTGGAACAGGGGCCTTGGGTGGGAAACCAGATGAATATCTGACCAGTGTCTGCCCTTGTAACTTGGGATTCTTTCCCTTCTGCCCCTAGATTTTTGGCCCCTAGGGTGGGTGGGTGGGTGGGGGTGTGTGTGTGTGATCCTGGGTACGTCACTCCGTGTTTTAGGGTGTAGTGTTGTCATCCATCACATGTGGGAAACCGTGTGTACCAGGCTTCTTACAACTCACAGCGTGCATGTCCCGTCATCCCTAGGGGAGCTGGTGGTGGGCTCCCATCGCGGTTCCCAGGAGAGACAACGAGGAGATCAGCTCCTGGTCAGAAGTCTGTTGTTTCTGAGGAGTGCTGTGGACTCTCTTCTTCTGACACCAGGCACTGGCATGAACATTCACTGTGAACAAGCCCAGAAACTAACACCGTGGCCATGGGGCGCTGAGTGGGAACGTCGCTGTTACCTGGGGTTGTTTCGCACCAGAGCGCGTACTGACGTAGCAAGCGATGATTCCGTCTTCCATGGGACCTGAGTTTGTGGCTGTGGTGGTGGTTTTCCATGGCAACTGCTCTTGCTACACATCTGTTATCTGATGAAATGGCTCCCAGGGGCCCGCACGGCGCCCGAGTGCTCTGTACCCTGCTTGTCCTGCCAAGGATGTGGGGAAACTCTGGGTGGAGGGTGTGAGGCCTGGGGCCATGTCCATGAGGCTTGATCTGCAATTGCTGATTCCTGGGGTGTCATCAGGGCTCTCCCCTAAAGTTAGTGAGGTTGCTGACGCTTAGTCCTGGAGCCCCCACCAGTGATGCCCCTTCTCCCCCAGGAGAGGACCAGAAAGAAGGGCATATTGAGAAAGAATATTTCTGATGGGTCAAGGTATAAATATTAACACTGTTTTTTGTTTGTTTGCTCATTTAAGCCAAAAATCATAAACAGGAAGTAGAGGGCAACCAAAACCAACTGAATGTCTGAGTTGCCACAGGCCAGCTTAGGGCCTGTTTTTTAGGTGTTTTGTCTAAAATGGAAAGTTCCAGTTTGCTCTGGGGCCAGAATCCTTAAAAGGAAGCCTTACTGGAGGTGTATTATGGGTCACTGTATATTTGCTAGTTTACATCTTGCTGACTACATTGGCAAAACTTTTATTTTTCCTGGTAAACATTCAGGAGGTTTTTTTCCTCACTCCCTCCCTAACAAAATCATGTTTGTCATAGGCGCATAAAGTAATTGACTGTTAAAACTGTCCACACATCTGTGATGATATGAAAATTAGTAGTGCCAGACAAAGGCCCCCTTTCTTAGGTGCCTTGAGCCTCAGGTGAAGCAGACTTGATCCTAATATGACTCTCAAATTGTGACCCACTGGAAACCAAGCTGGTCCAGCCTGAGAGGCCAAAAGGGACAGCGGGACAAAGGGGTCATTATGTGTAAGGCATTTGCATCTCCCCCCGTAGGACTTAGAGGCCTGAAGTTTTCTCTTAAAAACTTGCTTGTAAATTTTAGAGGGAATGCAAGCATTCTTATAGTAAAAAGTTGTGCTTATTTTGATTCATAGCAAGGCACAAAGTTATCACTTAGCACGAAGCCTTTTCAAACAGGAACGAAGGACCGGGGGTTGGGGGGGGTGCATCCCCTGGACCGCACCTGTGTGTGGTGCTCCTGGTGGGTCGGACGCATGCCTGGCATTAGCTATGACCGCTAGGTGTCAGGGGGCCATCTTTGGCCGCTGTGAGGATAATCTGTTTCTCTCCTGTTAACAAGTGCATTTTTATTACTTTTAACTCTGGGGGCAGACATTTGAATAATTCACCTATAGCTTTTCCTCCTTCTTTAAGGAAACATACCAAAAAAATGATTAAAATGGGGCCTCCCTGGTGGCGCAAGGGGTTAAGCACTGCACTATGAAGCAATCTGTAGCCTCTGCAGCACGAGTTTGATCCCCGGTCAGTCAGAGAGCAACCCACTTGGCGAAGCCAACCTCTCCTGGCTCGCCCGCTGCTCCCCTCAGCAGTGTATTTCAGTAGATCTGTCTGTTCTGTTCCCCACTCTGTCTCTGGTGAGTCCTCCCTCTCACCCCTGCATCTCTGGCCTGTACTCTAGCATAAATATATAAAAAAAGCGAGTCTGGCCTGGGGTTTTCATGGACCCGACTGGCCTTGGGTCATTCTCAGGGCCGTGGGGTTGAATGCTCACGGATGAAAGACCTGTAGTGTTTTAAATTAACTTTTGAGGTGGTTGACAGCCAGTACTCCCCACCCCCCCATTATATTATCACACCTTTTACTTTTAAACTCAATCCTAAAGAGTTATCAAAGATGTGGTCAGTATGTGTCGGCAGTAATTGGGGTGCAAGGCAGGGCAGCACCGCCACACACTGCACACCTCACACTCAGGGCTGTGAGTCTGTGACCTCCCTAAGGTTGGGGTGGTGGTTAAACTGGCCATGTTTACATAAAATGTATTCTGAGAACGGCAGGCCACCCATCGTGGTGCCAAAAAGTTCCCACCGGGAGCAGTTTTGCAGGCGGGTGGGTTGTGGGGCTACAGGGTTGTCTCTACTGCTTGGTGACCACAGCCTCTCTCTCTGCACAGGTGAAGCTGCCCTCAGGGGCGAGCCCCGGATGCAGACCCTCCCGGTGGCATCTGCCCTCACCAGCCACCGCACAGGTCCCCCGCCCATCAGTCCCAGCAAGAGGAAGTTTGGCATGGAGCCTGGGGCAGACGAGTTGGACTGTGACAGTGACCACGTGTCCAAGATGAGCCGCATCTTCAGTCCCCACCTGTGAGTCTCCCCTGCTCTCCTTGCCTCATGCCCCCTGTGAAGCCCCAGCGTGAATAGTATTCATCTAGCAGCAGGAGGGGGTCCCATGGAGAGAGGACCCTGATTTCCTTCCTACTGGCCTGCGTGGCCATCTTTGCGTCTCACCCTGGGACTTGCCCTGGAGCCTTCCCTCCCCTGGAGCACCCAGAGGTGTCGGGAGAATCAGCCTAGGGTGATAGCTGTCTGTGCTGCAGAGATGGAGGGAAAGCCTGGTGCCCGTGCAGACTTCTGCCCAGTGTCTGCTCCAGCTCAGGAGCCCAGGACCGTGTACCTGGAGAGGTGCCCCTTCTCGCCCGCTGACCTCGGGCCCCTGTGGGGTCCAGTGGCTCTTGTGTGTCCACAGGCTCTGGTGTGTGCTGTCAGAACCTGTATGGGGCCAGGGAGCTGGGTGTTTGTCCTTGCTACCTGCCACTGACACTCTGTACAATGCTCTGGTTCTTTATACCTCAGTTTCCTTATTTCTGAGGTGAAGGGGCTGCAAGGCAAGGCAAGGCCTCGGTCCTGTGTGACAGCATCGTGTTTCTTCGTGGCTTCTGGCCCCCACCCCCGAGCCCCTCAAGCATGCGCCTCTCAGATGGCGTGGAATGTTCTTTCAAATGCTTTGGGATTTGGAGACGCCCAGCCAGCTGCCGAGGAGCCCGTGTGGCAGGGTGGTGACCTCAGAGGCTGGGGGCTTGTGTAGGGGGTGAGGGGCTCAGGCTGTGGGAAGGAACAGCTTTGTGTGCCCAGGTGGACAGTCCTGCTCCCCAACCCTTCCCACAAAGGGGCCGGGATGCAGCCGCCCCAGATCTGGTTCCCAGGATGCTGCAGTCCTTGCAGGAAGGGAAGGCAGAAGCTTCCTGGCTCCTCATTGGAGGGGAACAGGCCTGGGGAGGGGAGGCGCGGCCTCGGAGCCGGCAGGCCCCGCGTGCCAGGCATTCCAGCCTCTCCGACTGTTGTGTTCAGTCATAAGACGCACTGACAGAGGCATTTATGCTCCATAAATCACTGCAGTGTTAGTCAGAGGCTGAGCCTGCAGTCTGGAGCCCAGGAATTCGCTGCAATCAGGAATCCAGCACAGGGGCCTGCAAGTCACCAGCTCTCGCCAGCAGGAGAGGCTGGTCATTTCATCCCAGGTGCCCAGTACCTGGAGCTTGTCCTTCAGTGAGGAGGTGTTTCTGTTCTGTCCCCGAACCCAAATCAGAGACATGTGTTCCTTTCTGCCGGAAGTGGGGAGGTGCCCTGAGATGCAGCCCGAGTTGTGGTCACACATGCCTTCGTTCAGTTCATTTGATTCTGCCGCTTGCCACCTGGAAGAGCCTGGACAGCCACCTATTTTATCTGGGCCTGGCATCCTTTACAAAATGGCCATGAAAACATTCATCTGTTGAAGTAATGTGGGCACCAGAGCTAAAATATGCAAGGCCTTCTGGGCACACAATACCCGGTTGTTTTTATTAATCATTTCATCCACTAGACATTGGTGATGAGAGGATGAGAGTAGTGCTTTGGGGAATAGGTGTGTGCGTTTTGGTTAGAATGTCCAGGCTCCGGTCTCCTGCATCTTTATATTCACTGGGAATGATAATTGCGCCTTCCCCATAGATGGCCTGTGTGCCTAGTGCAGTGCCTGGCCAGGCGGCACGCACAGCTTCCCCGTCACTGGGACCATTAGCATGCTCGGCATTCTGAAAGTGATTCTGTGACTCCTCGAGTGGTTACAAATGAGACCTTGAAGGATAGGCCTGCGATGATGTTAGGCATCACTTCAGGTGGAGCTGCCAGTCACCGCTGACATGCCAGTCACCGCTGACATCCTTGTGCAGAGGTTTAGGGAGATGGCAGCACCTTGTGGAGCAGGCCCCTGGCTGTGGGGGCGGTCCACCCTGGTGAAGCCAGCCCATGTCGTTCGTTGGTCCTGCATCTTCCCAGAGCCGTCTGCTTCCCAGGCGGCGTCTGCTTCTCACACCTTCACGCTGTGGGGTAACTTGGAATCTAACTCAGTGTGGGCACTGGTGAGATGTTTCCTGGGTGAGGTTCACCTAGTGTCTACGCGGCTGAGAAGTTTTCTATCGTCAGTTATAGACCCTTTTGCTGTGGAAATGATGGCCTAGCATGATTGTCACTTTAGGGAGATCACGGAAGGGTTTTTGCGCTTTCTCGTCCTGGGATGTGATGTGTTGTATAACAGAACGTGTGGAGTTGGCTCTGTCATTAAGGGTATCATGAGATTCTGGGGGAGGGGGTTGGAAAGCAGCTCCGAGCGTGAGCTGGGGGCTCTGAGGGGCTCTGCTGCCCTTCTCCCAAGTGCTGAGGGTTTTCAGTGGAGATGGAGAGACCTAGAGTCTCCGAGCCAGGGTAGGAAACCAAGCGAGTGGCCTGAGCATCACCTGGCTGGTTGGAAGGAGGTGAGGGAGGGCCGAGCCAGGTCCTGGAGCCGCGTCTCCAGAACTCAAAACCCCTGGCTCCTTCCGCTGCCTGCACAAGGCCTGGGGCGCGTGGACTCTGTTAATTTTCTTGCTGATCCAGTGACCCTGGAAAGCAGATGTCTTTGTGTTCAGATCATGAATGTCTCTCTTGGAAGTTAGAAAGTTCTTTATCTGCCACTCGGATGGAACACGGAACAAGGACCCAGGCAGGCACTGCTGTGGCTTGTCTCCCTGGAGTGTCCACAGTGATTACCTGCAACCCTGGTGTTCAAGTATATGGCCTGGTGAGAAAGAATCTCCCTGACTGCCTGTCTGTCTGTCTTATCTGTCTGCCCACCTGTCGGCCATGCAGACTCGTGGATTCTTGTCTCAGTGACTTGTAGCTGTGCCCCCTCTCCCAGCTCCTGTGTCCTTATTTACATTTCATATCTCTGTTATACTCCTCCATTTTGTCTTTTTTTGGGGGGGGGGCACTATCTTATTCTCTGGCCGTCGGGCGCTCACCTTGTGGCCCGTCTGCACCAGCTGTGGGCCGGGCACATACAGGGCCCCTAGTTCCATCAGCAGGAAGAGCGCTTAGGAGCTGTCGCTGCAGACATGGGGGTCTGACGTGAGTTGGCCGGTCACCTCCCACAACAGTCATATCTAAAGCGGAATTAGGAATTCAACCCTCAGTTGCCGTGGCCACGAGCTCCATAGCCATGTGTGGCCAGTGACTACCCTGTTGGACAGCCCAGATATGGAAAGCACCACTGCCCCAGCAAGCTCTGTCAGACGGCACGTTCCTAGAACCTTCCAGAAGAAGGTGCTGGGAACCCCTGAGGTCATGGCAGTCCAGTCCCTTGCAGCACCTCCTGCCTTCCCCACTCTAGATTTGTACCCGCCTGTGAGAGGAAGGGCACATCGTGGAGTGCCCCTGTATACTGGCCCTTGCGAGACATAAACTCTGTTATTTCCTGTCGCCCTCGTGAAACTGTGACCCTTCACGGGGGGAATATGTGAAAGTTCTGTGTTACAGAGGCAGGGAGTGGGGGCCCGGGGTGGCGAGGGGCAGTGCCTGCCATGCGTGGCATCCCAGTCAGTGAACATCTGCTGATGTGACCCCCGCGTCCCACCTGAGATGGGTCGTGGCACCTGCAGTGGGCGCCTCCTGTTTAGGAGGGTGTGGCCCAGCGTCCGCACAGGGCGGGCAGCCTCTGTCCTTGTGCTGAGCGGGCCCAGACCTGTGGCTGCAGGTGGAGTTCACAGGGCTCCTGTCCCCCGGGCACACATCTGCAGAGTGGTGGCCCTGCTCTCTGCTCACACTGGCGCCAGTCTCGGCACCAGCCTTGCCGACCCTTCAGCATGGGGAGAAGGAAGCACCGCTCTTGGGCTCCTCGAAATGCTGCCGGGGCGGCATGTCCCTGGGGGTCTGAGATGCCCCTGTGGCCACTCCTTTGAAGTTCTTCCTCATGCTTGATGCAGCCCCTCCAGCTTGTCCTTGAGTGCGGTACCCAGGCTGGGGCCCTCTGCTCCCCGTCTCCTTCCTCCTCTGCTGCTTCTGCCCTCACCCCTGTCCTTATTCCCTTTTCTCCCCTTGGCTCACAGCACTTTACTTTTCACTCTCTGAGGGTGAAGGCAAAAGAGGGAAAAACAGACAAACATGAACCGTCCTCCTTTCAACTTGACAAAGGCTGGGGACGTCTCTGACCGCGAGAGCTGGGAACGTGATACAAACTCGGTGGGCGATGTCCAGAGTGGGCTTGGGGTTTCCCTGGATTTTGTTTGTTTTCCCCAGTAGAGTTGATGTGTCTGCTGTTGGGGTGTCTGTGCAGAAGGTCCACCCGCCCTCGAGTGGCCATTTTAGCACCTTCATTTGTACACAGATGGACATGCTTGGCCATGAGACCACTTAGCCTGCAAACATGTGAGGGGTGCAATTCCCTGTTTCACGTGGCACCCCGGGCCAAGGGAGTGAGGCTGGCTCTCCTGGCGCCTGGACCCCTTGTGGCTGGGCCTTGTGCAGGGTCAGGGAACACACAAGGAGATGTCCCAGGGAGCATCCCGGTGTTCAGAGACTCCTGAGAGCCCTGGGTGGGGCTTATCAGTGACACGTCTAGTTAGGAGCCACTCGTGACCCACGCGCTGGCCCTGCCCTCCTGGGGCCTGGTCTTGTCACCTGCCTCCTCATAGCCCCGTGACGGACAATAGGATTATCCTCCTTTTACAGAAAAACCAAGGCTCAGAGAGGTTCTGTAACTTGTTCAAGGTCACACAGCGTGAGTAGGTAACAGAGTCAGCACTCACACCCATGCCAGTTGACTCTAAAGCAGAGCCCCGGCCAGCTGCCATGCCCACTGTGGGCATTGTGCTCGGCCAGCGGCCAGGAACCACTAGCTCTGGGACCTGGACCCCGTTAACTTCAGACCATTGGCCGTTGACGCTGTCTAGACACAGCTGACAACTGCTGTAGAATGGAGCGGAGCGGGAGGTACAGGCTGTTTGTTGTAGCACATAGCACCCAAGACCCAGGGGCATAGAGAGGGGAGTCCTGTTGTACTTGCCATGTGCAGG